CCGGAGGCGCGGGCGGGCCCGCGAGGCGGGGCCCCCGGGCAGGAGCGGCGGGCCGAGGGCGCCGCCCCGAGCGACGACGACGACGGCCTCCCCGCGCGGAGGCGCGGGAGCACGGGGCAACCCGGGGCCCGCGAAGAGGAGGAAGGGGCGCGAGAGGGGCTCGGGGGGCGAGGGGGGCGGATCGAGGGGGCGGCGTGGGCGAGGGGGCGCGGGGAGGCGAGGGGCCAGTGCGAGGCCACCGCTGCCACATGCAGGACAGGGGAGAAGGGAGAATGAGGATATCCTCCTCCTCCTCCTCCCTCTCCACCTCCTCCTCTTCCTCCTCCTCCTCCTCCTCCTCCTCCTCCTCCTCCTCCTCCTCCTCCTCCTCCTCTCCTCCCTCCTCCCTCCCTCCCTCCCTCCCTCCCTCCTCCTCCCTCCCTCCCCTCCCCCTCCCTCCCCCCTTCCCCCCCTCCCTCCCTCCCTCCTTCCCCTCCTCCCTCTCCTATCTATGGTAGTGGTGGTGGAAATGTGCCCATCAAGAGAGGGCGCGTGGGCAGGGGCAGGGGGGCACGGCTCTAGAGAAGATGGCACGTGAGCAGCAGCGTGCAGGAGTTCAATCGGACAGCATTCGGGAAGTTCCGAAATCCTAGAGTTTCCAGAACGTGGATTCATCATGGCCTCTTGCTCATCTGATATGCAAGTGATACCCGTGCGCGTTATGTACACGCAGTTTCGCGTTCTCGCCTGTTCGGGACTCGGGGAACCCAGAGATGGCTCGACAAAAGCCCCCCAAGACCCGCCCAAGCTGGCCGAGCTTGCACCCAAGAAGGCCCATCAATGGCCCAAAGAGGCATTGGACCAAGACTGCCCAAGAGGCCACCAAGACGGCAAGCAAAGCTTTGCAAAAAGCCACAAGAATGGGCAGGAGAGGACCAAAAGGCTATCGAAGGGGCCACGGGGGCCCCCCATGTCCTCGTAAACGCAAGCGCCGCGGAGCTCTCGGAGGGCCCCCGCGGGGGCGCGGCCGGGCGGCGGGCGGCCCAGGTCACCAGCAGCACGTCGAACGCGATCATGCACCAGCCGATGGGGAAGCCGCTCCGCCAGGCCCGGGGCGCCACTGGCCCGAGGCCTTCCAGACAGATCATTGAGGGCCCCGATCACGCGGTTGGACTCGGCGATCAGGGCGTCGCGCCTCAGCAGCCGCCGTCGCGCCGAGCGGCACGCCGCGCCAGCGGCCGGGGCGACGTCGCCCCGCAGCATCGGGACAGGAAAAAGATCGCGACGGCCGGGAACTTCGTCGACTTGAATTCGCCCAGGGGAACATGCAGGGGAACCCGACAGCTCGGCGGCCTGAATGTCCAGAGAGGAGACGGCCGCATGATTACCTCCCCCCCGCGTCATCGTCATTCTTTGCATCCGCCGCCCTTGCCCTTGGTTGGCTTCTGGCGACGGAGCTCTCTCTACCCCCTGGCCCTCCGAATGTTCTTCATGATCGCGGCATCCTTCTCGACCTGGCCCTTGGCGAACTCGAGGAGAACAGGCGCCACCATCAGCAAGTCAACGGCCTTTCTAAAACCGCTGAAGGCCGAGAACTCCTGCGGGCGCATCATGTCCTTGGAGCTCGCAGAGTCGGCCTCGCGCAAGCGGTCGTGGTAGCGCCGCTCGATCGTCTGAGCTCGGCGGAAGATCGCCTCCGCAAAGGCGCACTTGCTCAGGTCGAGCTGGTAGTAGGTCCCGGCCAACTCCAGGTACTTCACGAGCTGCTCGCGCTCCTGCACCCCCCACTGCTCACCCTGGAGCCGAGCCGTGGTCTTGAAGATCAAGCGGTGGTCCGTCGGAGCGTGGCGTCGCCGCAAGATGTCAAGACACCAAGTCGCCGACCGCGGCCCCGCCACTGGGAAGTCGCTGAACGGCTCCTCCTCGCAGGAGTCCACAACGTCGCGCCACTCGCACCCTCGGCCGCGGCTTCCGCTGCGAACACTGCGCTCTCGACAGGGCCCGCCTGCGCGCCGCCGAAGCCGCCTCGCAGCCCCGCAACGAACGACGCCTGGTCCAAGCCCGTCAGGTGCACCACCACCGCGCGACCTGGGCTTGCAAAGTACAATCCCTTGCCGCACATCTACAGGCCAGGCTCCCCTACCTCGTCACCGAAGGAGATGTCGTTGATGTCGTCCGCCTCAGCCGCGCGACAGATCAACCCGCTCGACCGAGCGGTCGAGGCGCCGCCCACTCCGCCGTGGCCCACGACGGCGACGCCGTCTGCATCACCGTCGCCGCCGCCTGGCCCAGGATGGGCTGCCCCCCCGCCGCCAGCCCGCGCCGCCGGCGCCGCAGGAGACCTCTTACCAATCACGCGCCGACCGCCGAAAAAAACGTACACCCATGACCTCCGTGACGGGCATGTCGCGGCCATGGATCGTCCTCACAGCGTCGGGCGCCTCGATCGGCATCCCCCGCGACTCCGCGTGTGCCAGCGCCGCCGCGTAGGCCCGACGAAAGAGCCCGCGAAGTCCGACCTCCGTGAAGTCGTTCTCGAAGCGGTAGCTCTCTCGGAGCCCAACAGGCAGCCGTAGATCTCGCGGCACCTCCAGCCACTCCACAAGGCTGTCGTCGGGCGAGCAGCCCTCGAGCTGCTCGATGTACATGTCGTGGTCCAGGGCGTGCACCACCCAGCAGGCGCCCGAGATAGCGCCGTCGCCCGCCTCAGTCGCTGCGGGGTACAGCAGCATCCGCTCGTGCCACAGGTCGTCCCCGGCGTAGCGGACCATCACCCGGCAGCCGGGAATCAAACGCGCCGCTGGCATGCGCGACACCATAGCCATCGTGCACAGGCGGTCCGCGCCGGCGCTGCGGCCACAGGCGGCCGAACCCGAAGCCGATCAGCAACGTGAGCAGGCACAGCACCAGCGTGGCGGTCCAGCCGACGCAGCCCTCGGCCGCCTCGCGCAGGGCCCCCGCCAGCGCGTCGCACTGGGGCCCCGCGGCGGCCCCCGCCCAAGGCGGAAAGCCACCCCCGCCGCCGCCTCCGCCTGGCGGCCAGCCCTCGCCGTATCCCTCGCCCAGGGTGCAGTAGCACGCCGGGCCGAGCGGGCAGGGAGGGCAGGCAGAGGCCGCGGGGCAGCTCGGCAACAGCGCCCAGGAGGCGCCCGCGTGAAAGCCCGCCCGCGCGATCTCTCGCGCGCTCGCAACGCCCGCCTCGATGAAGAGGCGGAGGGCTTCCTTCATGCCCCTGGAAAAAGACTAGAACGAACGGGCCATGGAATGGACGGCATCGGCAATGACCACGAGGGATTCAAACACGTGTGAAACACTAGACTGCCATTTTTCGTTCTACTAGTAAACGGGGAACTTGATCATCACGATGGATGTGGAGCAGGGAGACGGGGGGAGGAGGAAGAGGAAGAGGAGGAGGGGGAGTAGGATAGGAGGAGGGGGAGGAGGAGGAGGAGGAGGAGGAGGAGGAATAGGAAGAGGAGGAGGAGGATAGGAGGAGGAGGAGGAGCGATCAGGAGCGATCAGATGAAAGGACAGCGTACGTCCACAAACGGCGCCATGGCCTTCGGTGACCTGGCCCGCTTGAGGGTTAAAACTGAGGCCTCAGTTTTAACCCTCGGAAGTGGCAACTTGAGCCACTCCCTCGGGGGGTGGAACGCGACCACTCGTCGACGTCGTCAGGGTCGTTCCACCCCCCCTTGCACCGAGGCCAACAAGTCCTTGTGACTCCGCCTCTCTCACCGCTCTTGGCGGTCCCGACGGGTGCGGATACCGCCCCGACCTGATGGCCGCCAGATTCTGACGGCCCTTGGCCGTGGATTACAACGCAAGACCAACCATCTCGGGTCGGTGGTGCACGACTTGCCGCAAGTCGTGCAGAAAACCAAATTATATTTAGCCCATTTCTGCAGAGTGTGCGACCCATGGAGCTCTCTACCCGACACCCGAAAGCCAGCACGAACGGGGGAGAAGTCGGGCGTCTGCTCGGGCCTGCAACGGGAGGCACACATTTGGAAAATCGAATCCTGATTCGAGAACAAATTGCAACGCCTACATATATACTTCGTCCCTGCACGGGACCACGAATGCTCTGAGTCACGCAGGGCACAGGCAAGCTTAGGTAACGGGGCCCCCCCCTCGATTCCAGGGCGCTCGCAGGTCCAGGGATCGGCTTGGATGCTCGCTGCCAGGGCTCTCCGCGCCCTCCGACGGACCAGGGCGGCCTCGGAGTCCCGAACATCGGTCTGGGGGGGGGGGCGAAATCACGAATTCAGTCCAGCTAAGCTCGGCAGCTTCGCTGGCCAAGGCGTCTGCGCATTCGTTCCCGAAGGCGTAAAACAACTGCGTACGCGAGAGTCCTCCTATCTCCTCTTGGTGGGAGGGGACCCATGCAATTTCTATTCGGCCAGGCCCACGATCACGCTTGGCGGCCTGGATCCTGGCCCAAAGGTCTATATTCACCCCGCTGCTCGGCGGCTCAGACCCACAGCCTTTGGTCCAGGAGTCCAGGAGGGGGCGATGGTCAGTAACGAAACGGACGTCGCCATCGCTGGATTCAAGGGCTTCGGCGAAGGCGGTTATCTCAGCGCGCGGCACGGTCTGTCTTCGGCCCTCGATGCTGCAGCCCAGACCCCAGACGGCACGCCAGACAGCCCCTTCGGGGGCGAGACCGATCAGACCCGAGCCGACCCTTCGACGCCGAGGGTCGTCCGAGAACCTCCCACCCGACCCGTCCCCAAACAAGGTCACAAAACCTTCGGCGTCTCTGGGAACGGCTGCAAGGGTGCCAAACGAAATTCGGATGGGAGGCTTATCCGCGAAGGTCGGGACCGTTTCGGCCCGGCCAGGGACCCCGCGGAGCCAAAAACTCGGGCAGCTTTCATGGTTCACCCGGGCTTTCTCGGCCAAAACCTGGCTCTTCTCGAAATCTTCATGGCCAACATTGGCCTCACAGGCCCACACTCGGTGGTGCAAATCCTCGGGGGCTTTGGAACAGCGGGGGCAGAGGCCATCAATACGGTAGCCTGCCGCGCGCAAGCGCTCACGAGTCCACTGGGCGCCCGTGACGACCACCACGTCCAACGCCCAGTTGTCGCCCTCGAGGTCTGGCTTGAGGCGGCTGAGCTCCCTGGAGACGTGGTACATGTCCGCGCCCTCCGAGAGGTCCGAGGCAGCTTCGTGGAGGGCCGCCGCACGCCACAACTGTCTGTCAATCGTGGCCTCAATGTCATCAAGGATGTCCGTGAAGTCTCCGTGGAAGTTGTCAAACTCTGGGGACGCCACAGACGGGATGTGCCACTCGAACTGCTCATCCGAAGACCACACCATCGGGCTGACGGGGTCCCAACCAATGTCGAGCAAGGTTGAAATCGTAGCTGCAATGGGGCCCTTCGAAACTCTCCATCTTCGCGAACCCGCTAATCGTAGGCGGCTACGGATGCTATCCCACGATCTCGCAATACGTGTGTGATATTCTGGGTACTCTCGCCACAATCGCAGCCATGCCAGGACCTGCTCACGTCGAAGTGCCTTCGCTGGGTCTCGTCGGTCAAAGGCGGCGGCAAGCGACGTGGTCAAACATCGGCCAGGCCCCGTGCCGACGGCACTCTGGGCGGCCTGGCGGCGGATCTGCACCAGCTCGTAGCCAGGGATCCCGAACGTCTGGTGCGTGTAGGTGCCCTGCGGCTTGGACCCCATGCTCCAGAGGCCCTTGGTGATGCCGCGGAGGCTGGCGTGGCGCCTCATCCTCATGATGGCGGAGGTGCGCTTCTTGGCCTTCATGAAGCGCTCCCTCGCCTTGGTTCTGGTCCGTGATCGGCCCGAGGTCGTGTCAGCACCGAGGTCCACAGCGTGGCGGACAGGTGTCACAGGGATGCCAACATCGATCAGGCCGGCAGTGATTCGGGCTGCCAAGCTCGAGGACGAAGCAACGACCACCGTCTTCGGGCTTATCTTGAGCCCTGCGTCCACGAAGTCGCTGGCCAAGGACGTGCAGGAGTCGATCATCAGCGAGCCGACCTCGTGCGCTGTCCCCTCTGCCCGAACCACCGTGTCGTCAACGAAGGTGCGGAGTAGGATCCTGAGCCCGTAGTTGATGTGGGCCCTGTCCAGCATGGGGCCCATGAACGCCTTCGCGAAGCGTCCACTCTGCAGCGAGCCTGCCACTAGACTCTTCTCAGGTTGAATCGCCTTGCTCAGCCAGAGCCTGTCCTTGAGGTGCCGCGGGGCAAGGAACAGCTGCAACTCCAGCGCGAGGATGAGAGCAGGAAAACCTTGGCGAATACCTGCTGCACACATCTTGGCAATCGAAATACTATCATAAAATTTTTCCAAGTCCAGGAGCAAGGTAGCACATGAAATCTTCATCTCCTGGCAGGTCTCATCGAGGAGAGATCGGACCAAGGCAGCCTGCAGGGCAGACGAGCCACGGATCGCTGTGTCCCAATGCTCGTCCATGGCCACCGTCCAGTCCAGGGAGTCAGCACTTCTCATCTTGCTCCACAACTTGGGCAGGAACGGGAGCAGGCCCAGGATCCTGTCGCCCCCCTTCGGCTTGGGGGCGACGGCGGCGATCACCATGAAGAGCTGGTGCGGCCACATGGCGACGCGCTCGATGTGCTTCACCAGCTCGAGCAGCTCCTGGCGGGCCTCAGCAGGCAGCCGCTGCACCTCGATGGGGCCCATGGCGTCGACCCCCTTGGCCTTCTTGCCACTCATGGAGCCCAGCGCGCTGTTCATGCGCTCGGCGGTGAGCTGCTCGAGGTCCTGGGTGTCGGCCCTGCCCATGACGTACTGGAGGCCGTCGATGATCTTGGCAGGGACCATCGTGTCGTCGCTCCATATCTCGTTCCAATCATCTGCGCGCTTGTCCATCATCTCATCAGGGGTGGCGAAGACCTTGGAGTCAGCAATGATCTCGTCGGGCTTGTCAGGTACCCCTTTCACGTGGCGGTGTAGAATTCCTGGCGACTCCTTCCACATCTTGGTGGCCCAGGCCTGGAATCCCTTGCGAGCCTTGGACAGCGAGAGGCCGATGGCTCTGCTCTTGTAGGACTCCGCCTGCTGGAGTATGGTGTCGAACTCCTCATCGTCGGCAGTGCCAATCTGCTGGGTCGCCGCAACCCAGGTCCAGAACTGGTCGTCGTCGCCGAAGGGCTTCTGGAAGTCGCTGTCCAGGCCAACGTCCAGCAACTCGAGGAGCTTGGTCATCGTGTAGGCGTTGTCGTGAACTCGAGCCGTCCGTCGGAAGATGCCCAATCTCGAGAGTAGTGACGTGCGCAGGTTCCACCATTCGAGTAGCGGATCTCTCAAGTGGGGCCTGGACGGGGTGGCTCGCGTGATTTTCCATTCAATATCGTATCCTTGTGCCCTGCCACGACACTTCTTGGCATCACCTGCTGGAAGCTCGTGGCGTGCTATCGTTGCCTCCTCCACTGCTTGGACCCATCGCCCGTAGCGTAGGCCAACATCGTCACGTACTTCGGGATCCCGATCGAGCAGGAAATGAGGCCGATGTGCGGGGGTGCCTTCGTACGGCTTGTCCTTGGCGGCCTGCCAGCACTCCAAGGGGATGTTGAACGCAGGTCCTGCAGCTGGTGCTGGAGGGGCTTCATCGTGGTCGTAGAGGTCGGCGTACGCCTCCTGCAGGTAGTCGTCGAGCTCCTGGCGGCGGCGCTGCTTCGCCTGGGCGATGGCCTTCTGCCGCTTGCTGTTCGGGTCAGCCGCGCGGACAGGCCTCGGGAGTGCCGGCAGAGGTTGGGCGGCTCTGAGGCTGCGATGCCACCACGCCTTCTTGCCCGCCTTGAGCGTGACGCATATCCCAGCGTGCGTACGCCATGGGACCTCAGGGACAATATGCACACGGATGCTGTCGGCGAGGCCCTCCTTCACGATCGCGTAGTCGATGAGGGAGCCGCGGCCCTTGTTACACGTGACCTGGCCGTTGATGGGCACGCAGATGTTGTCCCCGAGCTTGGAGATCCAGGCAGTCTTGGACCAATCAGACGGAACCGCATTCCAGTCGCCAACCAGGATCCAGGGATCTTTGATCTGCTTCAAGAACGAGGCAAGGCGGATCAGCATCTGCTCGTTCAAACCCTTGAACTTGTGGCCAGGAAGCAAGTAACAGGAGACAACCACTATGTTGCCGACGCGCGTGTGCCACAAGAGAGGGGCGAATCCTCGGAAACAATCTTTACCTGTGCGTTGAAGCTCTGCTTGGCGCCAGGACTCGAAGGAGGTGGTGCAGACTGACTTGCGCGAGACTACCCATTCTCCACCTGTGTTGCCAGCATCAGACCTTCCAGTCAATACTGCAGGGGCGGCCGTCACCTTCCACCCGTCCTTGCCATGATCGGATTTGGCGGTGGCCAGCTGCTCTCCCAGGACGTGCGTCTCGCAGAACGCGACGAGGTCGTAGGAGGGCGCCTGGCCTCTCATGAAGCCCTTCGCGGTGGGGCCCCACTCGGAGATGTTGGCGAAGAAGAGCTTGGAGTCGGAACCTTGCTCGTCATCTCTCTGAGTTTGGGGAGACCCCGCCATCAGGGACGCCGTTGAACATGTAGGGGAAGAACTCGTCCGCGGTGGGCAGCCAGCGCCCGCTGGCTGCGGCGGGGCGCTGCTACCCGCGGGCTGGGGCAGGGCCCGCGGCCCCAGCAGCGGCAGAAGGGGCGCTGCCAGCAGCGCCAGCAGCGCCAGGGCCAGCGCTCGAAGCACTGGCCGAGCCCTTGCCCTTCGCCTTGGCCACAGAGTCGGAGCGGGCCTTGGCGAGGGCCGCCTTGAGGCCGTCCTCCTTGGCCTGGGCGGAGACCGCGGCGCCAGGGTCGGCGGCAGGAGGGGCGGCGGCGGCTGCGGCTGCCGCCGGCTCTGCGGGAGCCGCTGCGGCAGCGCCTGCCGCGGGCGCGGCGGCGCCTCCCTCCTCGTCGACCCGCTGGCGCTTCGGCGGGGAGTTGCGGAGGGCGCGCACCGCGCACCTTGTCGTACTGCGCGTGCACCTCCGCCTGCATCGCCGCCACCTGGTCGATCCTCTGCTTGATCTCCGCCTCGAACGCGCGGAGCTCGGCCTGCTGCGTCTCGTCGAACTCGCTGAGGTCGGAGAAGAGCGCGTCGTCCACGGCGAAGACCACGCGCTTGCCGTCTGCAGTGTACCCGTCGGGGACCTGCTTGATGTTTGCCTTGGCCGCGACAGCAGCGACCGCTTTGTCATGGGCCTGCTGCGCGACGATCTGGGCCACCGTGGTTTCCTCGGCCCTCTGCTGGGCACGTGCCAGGGTGGCCTCCGCTGCCACAACCGCCTCGGCCGCCGACTTGAGCGCTGCGTCCTTCTTCTCAAGCTCCTTGGCGGTGGCGGTGTAGGAGGTGTGGGCCGTGGGCGGCGTCGGCACGGCTGCCGCGTCGCAACGCTCCTTGGCGGCGAGGAGCGTCTTGGCCTCACCCGCGAACATCGGCAAGCTGGCGAGCAAGGCCAGCATCGCCGACGGGTCTGGCGTAGCCGTCGAAGGAGAGGATGGCTGGTGGTGGTGCTGCTGGCCCTGCTGCTGGCCTGGCTGCTCCCACCACGGCGCGGGAAGAGAGATGTGGGCCTGGCACTTCCCGCACTTGCCGCCATTCCTCCTGATTCTGAAATTGTAGGCCCAATTGCCGCAGGCCGTGCACCAAGAGAAAGCGCCTTTTCCCATGTGCCTGAAGTAACAGAGAGCGAAAACGAAGTAGTCGTGTCTTCGTACAGCGGGGGATAACACCCCAATGCAGTAGCGAAACCTTGGGTGGTATGTCGGTAGGGGCCGCTGGTCCCCTCTGCCTCAACTCTCGCCCGCTGGTGGCCACTGAGCCACGCTACGGACTTGAGCCAAAATGGCTTGAGCCAAAATGGCTACGGAGGAGGAGGAGGAGGAGGAGCAGGAGCACGAGGAGGAGGAGGAGCAGGAGGGGAGGAGAGGGAGGAGCACGAGGCACGAGGGGGAAACACTCCACACACTGCTCTCCGGGGGTAGTTCGTCGGCTCTGGGGCCAGCAGCCCCCATGCACACGCCTCATGGCCCTCGTCACCGTTTCCCCCTTTCTCTCAGCGCGAGAGATACCCGTACCCGTGCCCACGCGAAACAAAATGGAAAAATGTTCCCATCGTGTTTCTCAGGGATCTACTGGCCCGGGCCTATCTAAGCCCAAGTCAGGCCTTGCAAGATCCTGCCAAATCCCGCAGGATCCTGCACCCAAACCCGGGTCACGATGATCCTGGCTCCGCAGGATCCCGCAAGATTTCGCGCGCTGGCTGAACCCCGTCTGCATTGACCTCCGTATCTTGAGCCCCGAATGCTGCTCACGCTATCCTTGCCGGGCTGGTCACGCCCTCACCACCCAGCAGCGCAGCCGTGGGATCGCAGCAGCCCGCGGAGCCGCGGTCCAGGGCGTCCACCTCGGCAAGGTCCGCCGCGCTGAGCAGCGGGGCGCCGGAGGCCGCGGCGAGGTTCTCCCCCAGCCGCGCGGGCGACCCCGACTTGGATATGGGCGCAACCTTCTGCGGCAGCTCATGGGAGCCTCCCGTACCATCTGGCTGGCTATTGCGCATCGACGCTAGTGGACACGACATCGACGCACACCTACGCAAATCGACGCTAGTCGACGCCAGATCGGCGCATTCGCATCGATTGCGAGACGCCAACGCACGCTAATGCGCTCCAGAGACTGAATGCCGAGGACACACACACACACACACACACAGCTCGCCATCGCTCGGAAATCCACTCGCCGTGCCTTTTTTTCGGCTTCGTGCATGTATGGTTTCGCGAGATGGCCGAGGATGCTCCTCGTTGGTCCTCACAAGAAAAATACTACAACAACAACAACAACAACAACAACAACAACAATAATTTTACCCGAACGCGTGGTGTTCTCCCCAGTGCCAGGGTTGTCATACGACACCAGGCAATACCCCCACTTCGTGGGGGGGCATTACAAGCTCTACCAAATATCCAAACGACTCTTCGCGACCACCCAAACCCAGCTTCCCGCCCTATGACGTTGGGACACTTCACTTCGTGGCGTGCGGACGACCGTGGCTACTACACTGGCGTGGGGTACACACCCACAGAACCCAATGGTTTTTGGAGATTTCGGCGTGCGCGCGCGAAGAAAAAACGAATGTGTCCCGCATGGTATTATTTGACAGGGATGATGGCCCTGGCAGGTGCGCAACCGTTGTCGCAGAAGTTCGAAAAAGTTGCTCGCAAAAGCCCGTTTGACAGAAATGTTTAAAAAGTGTTGGGTTTCCTACGAATCCGCAAGAGCGCGCGGGATGAGATTTTGACATTTTTTTGTTGAAAAACCATTGGTTTTTTGATGTTTTTATGTTAAAATCGCTCCGAACACTAAGCTTTTGGAAGGATTTCGTCTTGCGCGCGCGAATGTCCACTTTACCTTATTTTTTGCAAGGGATTCTTGAAATTTGATTATATTAGAACAAGAAATGTCATTTTATAGTGTTTTTTGCAAGGGAAAGCGGATTACAACAAAACAACCGGATCTTGATCACATCGAATTACCTGAGGCTTCCTCACGAAAATGATGAAAATGTAGCTGCGGCCTAGGCGGCGCAGGGGGGGCGCGCACCAGGGGGCCCAACAATAATTATTCTTTAGAATTAATAATGTTCAATTACTAGCACGTGGGGACACACCGTTCTCACCAGTGCCAGGGTTTTCATAGGAGGCGGGCAATACCCCCACTTTGTGGGGGGGCCGGTTCAAGCTCTACCAAATTTCCAAACGACTCTTCGCCACCACCCACACCCAGCTTCCCGCCCTATGACGTTCGGACACTTCACTTCGTGGCATGCGGACGACCGTGGCTACTATTCAGGGCCCCGCGGCCGACGACGACGGCGTGCGCGCGCGAAGAAAAAACGAATGTGTCCCGCATGGTATTATTTGACAGGGATGATGGCCCTGGCAGGTGCGCAACCGTTGTTGCAGAAGTTCGAAAAAGTTGCTCGCAAAAGCCCGTTTGACAGAAATGATTAAAAAGTGTTGGGTTTCCTACGAATCCGCAAGAGCGCGCGGGATGAAATTTTGACATTTTTTTCGAACAACCATTGGTTTTTTGATGTTTTTATGTTAAAATCGCTACGAAAACTGAGGTTTTGGAAGGATTTCGTCTTGCGCGCGCGAATGTCCACTTTACCTCATTTTTTGCAAGGGGTTCTTGAAGTTTGGTTATGTTAGAACAAGAAATGTCCACTTTAGCTTTTTTTTGCAAGGGAAAACCGATCGTAACAACACAACCAGATCCGGACCAACCCGTTTTGCCGGAGACTTCCTCACGAAAATGATGAAAATGAGGCTGCGGCCTAGGCGCGGCGGAGGGGTCGTGCACCAGGAGTCCCAACAATAATTATTCTTTAGAAGTAATAATGTTCAACAACAACAACAACCACAACAACAGCAGCAACAGCAACAACAACATCAACAACAACAACAACAACAACAACAACAACAACAAAAACAGCAGCAACAGCAGCAGCAACAACAAACAGCAACAGCAACAACAACAGCAGCAACTACAACAACAACAACATAAACAACAATATACGCATACACCTAAACATAAGCAACAACAACAATTACAACAACCGCAACAACAACAACAACACAACAACCACCACCACCAACAACAACAACAGCAACAACACCAACAACCCTAACAACACCACCAACAACAACACCAACAACAACAGCAACAACAACAACAGCAACGACAACAACAACAACAACAATAACAACAACAACAACTACAACTACAACTACAACAACAACAACAACACCGAAGACACGGCATACAATAAAATATGTTGACGCTCCGCGCGGATTTCCTGGATCTGCGCTAGACCCTCAGCCCTGGCGCGCGGAGCGCGCCAGGGGCGGCGCCGGTGGCGCCGCCGGGGGGGCCTAGCGGCTAGCGCGGATCCAAGAGATCCGCGCGGAGCGCCAAACCGTTCATGCTTGTGGTGTTTGTTCTTCGAGGGAGTGCGCACGTCCGAGCGATGCCAGGACAAGGCTCCCACACGAGTTGCCACCGAGCACAACCCCTCGCTGCAGCAGCCACCGCAGCACGAGCTGCGCGGGCGAGGCGCCCGCGCGCGCGGCGATCGCTCGCAGCACGGGGTCGCGCAGCAGGCCCTGGCCGCCGGACGCCAGGGGCGAGTACGCCTGCACCCGCACGCCGCGCGCGTGGCACTCGGCGGCGAGCTGGCGCTGCTGGCGGTAGGGGTGGAGCTCGATCTGGTTCACGGCCGGAGGGACGTCGCAGTACTCGAAGAGCTCGTCCAGATGCCGCGTCCGCCGAGGAGCAGACAGTGGCATGGACACACGAGCCTCTCGCAGGTCCGCGCGGCTTCCGTGGATCGGCGCCGGAGGCGCCGCCGTGGGGGCCAGCGCCGAGCCAAGAAACCCGCGCGGACCTCCGAAAGGTCGTGCTTCTACCATCTGACGCTTCTCGGTCAGGTAGTTCGACACGCCGATCGCCCCCACGCGGCCCTCGCGCTGCGCCTGCTCCAGGGCGCGCCACGTGCCACGCCTCAGGCGCGCATTCTTAGATGAAGGAAAAACGCCATAAATGTAAACGTTCGGCGCTCCGCGCGGATTTCGTGGATCTGCGCTGGACCCCCCTCCCTGGCGCGCGGAGCGCGCGAGGGGCGGCGCCGAAGGCGCCGTGAGGTGGGGGCCCAGCGCGGATCCAAGAAGTCCGCGCGGAGCACCGAAAGTTTATGTTTCTGGCGTCTTTCCTTCTTCGGATTCTCCTGGCGGTCCGAGGAGAGCCAGCGGCCAGGCCAGTGCACGAGAACGAGGTCCACGAAGTCGAGGCCCAGGCGCTCCAGAGAGGCCTCCAAGGAGCTCGCGGACCTCCGGAAACCCAGCTCGGTCCACCAGACCTTCGTGGTCACGGTCAGCTCCTCCCGCCGCGCGCGCCCCGCCGACACCTCCTGTCGGATGGCCTGGCCGACGGCCTCTTCGTTGCCGTAGAAGGCCGCGGTGTCCACGAGGCGGTAGCCCATGCCGATGGCGAGGGCGATTGGCGCGGCCGCCCGCAACCCGCCCGTGCCCAGCCCCACGGCTCGGGGGCGGCCAAGAGGGGGGCGTCCAAGAGGGGGGGTCGCAAATCATGGCTGGCGGCGCGTGCACGGACCAGGGGGGGGGGGCCAGGGACGTACTGAAAGAAGAGCCGCCATGAAATCTGAGGAGATACCATGGTCCCCGCCATGATTCCACCCCCCCCTAGGCTTGGGCGCCCGAGTTATCCGTGGTAACTCGGGCCTGGGGTAACTCGGGCTTGGATTCCCGAAAAGAACCCGAGTTAGCCCTGACCCGAGTTACCCCTGCTGATTTGGGGTTCTGGGCGCCCGAATTATCCGGGGTAACTCGGGCCCGGGGTAACTCGGGCTTGGATTCCCGAAAAACGAACCCGAGTTAGCCCTGACCCGAGTTACCCCTGATGGTTCGGGGCCCCGAACCTAGTCATCACCCCCCGTCTAAGCCGCCCCCCGCACGGTCAGCGGCGGCGGGCTCGCCGGGCCCCGGCCAGCGCTGGCGGCCCCGACCGCCAGCGGCAGCTGCGCCGCCCCCGCCAGCAGGGCGCCGCGGCGGCCGCGCAGGGCCGCGGAGACAGCGGGGGCTCGGCCCGCGCGGGGCGGCGTTGGGGTGATGGGTCTGTTTTCCACCACCACCACCACCATAACTTGGATGGGGGGGAAAGGAGGTGGAGGACGAGGAGGGGCGGACAAGGAGGAGGAGGAGGAGAAGGAGGAGGAGAAGGAGCAGGAGGAGGAAGAGGAGGAGGAGGAGGAGGAGGAAGAGGAGGGGGAGGGGGAGGAAGAGGGGGACGAGGACGAGGACGAGGACAAGGAGGAGGAGGAGGAGGAGGGGGACGAGGAGGACCCCTTCCTCCTCCAACTTTGGGTGGTCGTGGTGGCGGTGGAAAACAAGCCCATCATGTGTGCAGGGAGAAGCGGCACTGGCGCCCGCCCGCCGAGGG